GATTTATCATTGTGGAAAATTTGGAAACCTGTTTTATCATAATTCACCGTGTTTTCAATGTCTGATATTGGGCAGCTACGTTGTTTCCGGTTCAGCCTTGATCCTTCCCCTTTAAATGGTCACATAAATGATTGGCCTTTTTGATCAATATATTTTCCATTATTTCTGGCTATTGCATATGGAGTGGTTTGTCTATCCACAATGTCTTTACAGTAATTAACTAAACGAGTGGATAAAGAAGTCTATAATACCATGAGTGGTATTTTCAAGAAAACGAGCGATAGGAGCGTGTTTTTTTATTTACCACGAGTGCATTTATATCCCTTCATCCATATGTTACGTTCAATAGCGTTTCGTTTCCATTTAAGAATAATTTAAAATTTGAGCAATTCTTGCACATCTTTACAATTCGAGACATATATTTGATGAACAAGACCTATTTTAGTTACGCTTGCATTGTGTTCTTTTGATCACTATACTGAGGATAAAGAAATGTTTGCAAATGGAAGATACTGAACATATTCCGGATGAAATATTAGAAGAAGCTGACAAAGCTTTGAAAACGTTACTTCCAACGAAAAGTTAGGACAAGTGCGAGAGAGAATACAACATTTATAAAAATTGGAAAGTAAGAAAAACTATTCACTTCGGACTCAGTTTTGATGGCGTACTTTTTAGAAAGGGTAAACACCTGATTTTTTTTTTGTTTTACGTATTTAACTTGGTAAGACTAAATGTTTTACATGTAAAGCACATAATTTATTCATGATAAAGATTTTATATTGTCTCATTTGTCAGATAGTGTCAAATCAACTTTTACTTAACCAATTTTGTTTTATTTATTCATTGTTTACATGCATTTAATGAAAGTAAGCAATTTGTGATATTCATTTTTGTTCTTATTTCATGGCTGACTGGAAATACCTTGGCTAAGACTGTTATAGTGACTTGATTGAATGATTTTTTTTATGAATTCTGATTGGTAGTTGTAGAGTTTAACTGCATAGTAGAGTTTTAATTGCACGCGTACAATTAATACAGCAACTTGCTGCTAAATGCGTCAAGAAATAAAATATCGACAAAAACAGCTAAAAATGCTGAAAATCATTAGAAACTATGAAATGTCTAAAAAATGCTGCCAAGTCACAGTTACTTTTACAATTGCTTAAAAATAAAGTTTAAAAATTCAAAAATAGGCTGGCCATTTTTTTACATGTAAAATGTTACATGTAAATAAAATGAATGGGTAAGGTGGCCCAGAAAAGTTGTTGGTCCCTTCGTGCTTTAGACGCCTATGGTCCAGGTCTATTACCTGTAACTTTGTGCAGCATTCGCGCGCACTGCAAAACAAAGCGCTTTCTAGCTTTCTGCATTGTGTATTCAGTCCAATTTAGATCGTTAGGAAGTATTTTACCCAAATATTTACAACTTCCTTCTTCCGGAACTTCACGATCACTCACTGTCTATTGAAGTTCTTTTTGTTGTGGAGCATTTATGAAACTAATTAATTCACTTTATCCGGATATATAATTATTTCGGTATTTCAAGAGGAAGACTTAATATGGAAGCTGAAAACTAACTAGGCATTGCTGAACTCCTTTCGCATTCAATTCTTACTTACATAAGATATGCGTTTTCGTTGAGTTCTCGTAGTGCGCTTTCACATTTTATTCAATATCATACGCAGCTTCATTTTTAGCATAAGAGAAAGTACAGCAGGCATTAGAAGGCGACCAAATGTCCCGATCAATCGGTGGCTATATTTATTCGAAGAAGACAACTTTTCAGACATCGAGAGACTTCGTAAGACGCTATTTTATGCTTTTCTGTTTACATTTTCAGTAAACAATGAAATACGTAAACATGTATGACGGCAAGATGTGATGATGGCAAAGCGGTTGCAAGCCGGCTCTCTGAACGAAGAATCTATGTTGATAAAGATGACTTCAATTATTTCTTCCTTTAATAATGTCAGCAATACATAATGAGCATTTCGACAATTAATGTAATGTAAACATCATGAAAGGGCATGAGAATCGAAAAATGACGTCTGAGTAATATTTAAAAACTCAAAAGTTTTAATGAAAATGAACAATTCTTCATGTGATGAAGTGAAGTATGCTCTATCTCTTCAATAATTTTAATGAAGAAAAAATGAGAAAATCCTGTTTAGGTATTTTAGATGAATGGCCACTATTTTGAAATTCCTCGAAACTTACTAATATCTTAAAATAACTACAAATTAAATTAATTTTAAGATATAATGTTGAAGGAAAAATTTCATTTAAAAACGTCTAGCTTTAAGATCGAAAAAATGTTGGTACAGGTTCGTAAAACATTTGAACAAATTCGAAAACATTTTGGCAACGTCGAAGGTTTACATGCAAATCGGACCAACGCCATATTATTAATCGCAATTTGCTCTATTTGAGCGAGTAATTGAAAGAAGAAAAAATACTCAATTTTTGAGAAAGTTGTGCATTTGTTCTAGAAGCTTTACGTACGTCCAAAAGAGATCCACGGAACCTCGAGTTTGACCAGATCAATCGAGAAATATGAATATTGAGATTCATGTGCACAGTGCATAGGTCATAGTTCAGGCTTTTTTTTTCAGAGACAGATGGATAGACGGATGGACAAATAAACCTGATTTTAAAGTTCTTTCTCTGTTCTAGGAACACTCAAAATGGATATTATCGTCAAAATGTCGCGGTCGACTTTTTCAGCATTACGTAACTTTCTCTAAACGAAGTAAACTAGAAAGGAAAAGTACCAATCACCGGCGTCACAGTTTCAGAATTAACATTACAGAACAGTTATTGTCAATTGAACTGGCTACTCTTTCTTTCAAATTATGTACATGAAATATGTAATTATCATTTCGATAAACAAGAATGTGCCAGGGTACAAAGTAACCATAAATGTATAACAACTACAATTACAGATGAAAGCATGTCTGTTAGGCGGCATATAGGAATAGACCTTTACAGTCGACAATTAACTGTCCAACCTATCGGTTCGATGGTTAATAAACTGACAACCTCTGAACTGCAAGTTTAGTGGTAGAGATTGATATGAGTATAAATTAACATAAATGTATTGCGTTTTGATATGCGAACTACAAAATCAAAGATTATCACAATATCGCACTATTGGATTTGGAATTGAAAGTGAATACACTACTTGTGTCCATCAGATGGCCAACCAGTAAAAAACAAAAACAAAAATAACTTGATGTTCACCAGCTGAAAAGTGTAATGATTGAACGATGATGATGGTGATGATAATGAGACCATAATAACAAAATAATACACGCAAACATTACTACATGAATGAATAAGTAAAACTTCCTTCATTCATAATACCAGAGGGGGAAATCGTACAAATATATATCAACCAATTTGTGGCTTGATAGGTTATTAAAAGGACACACAACACAAGTTCATAGATCATACATTTTAGAAGAGCTTCAAGTTGTGAAAGTTGATGGATATTGAAAACTATTTTTTTTCGACTTATCAACCAATTTTACACATTATACAGAAAATTAGCAACAAGAAGAACAAGAACAATAATAAAATAATAACTAGCGTACCGGTGCGAGAACTCCTCATGTCACCATCCTCTTCCATATCCTTTATTTTCCATATTCAGCGAATAATATTTTTTTTCCTTCAAGACATTTTATTCTCCGTCACTTGTTCTATAGTATGTCTCTTTGTGTTTGTATTAACCGAGCGTATTTTAAAATAACAGTTCATTACACTTATTATCGAACAGAGATGCAATTTAATCGCGTAGAATACCATGTAAATAGTTTAATTTTACATAACCTGCAGATTCTGCTCGTCTCTGAACTAGTGGGGTAGAATAGGAAAGCGCAAAGATTCGCAAAAATATTAAATAATGTGTAAAATGATCCCATTCAACGAACTACGGTGTGAGGAATGTTTGTTTCAGGCCTTTGGTTTGGCTCAATATTTTCTGATTTTAAGCCCAAGAACGCTTCGTTTTAGAGTTATACACCAATATAGATTTCGAAAACACTGCCGAGTGTTGCAGGCTTCATTTGACATGTTTAAAAGCATTTTTTGCAATAAATCCTCCAATTTTTTTAAGTTCAAGTGCAATTCGTCATGCCTCCATGGAATTATTTTTCGTTAGAGAGCTCATTTAAAAAGAATACTTGCGTGTGAATCTTAGCTATACTACTGAAATAATGTAGGAGACGATAATAATACGCGGGTTTTAATTTGTAAATATTATCATAGGTAATATCACTAGTGTTGTGAAAATTGTCGATAAATTACCGACTCGCGAAGCAAAGAGGGGACTTATCTAAGAATTTCCACAGCACAAATGGTATTTAATAGGACCATTCCACGAATGAAATTTCGTCCAACAGAGTTCTAAAACGAACTAAATATAGAAAATAGCATGTTAAAATCAAAGAGGTTATGTTATAGTACATATACTGTTCATTTGACATAGACCTAACCATCGTTGTATACCGCCTCCTAAGATAAACGAGTCACAGTTTATGACTGGCCAGTAGGTAGAAGCGGTGAGAAAAATCGGTTAGATAACGCGATAAACTTTTTGAGATACATCGCCCTGATTGGCGCATTTTTTACGCGTAGTTTAACACTATTGGTTTCAATTTCACAAGTGGAATAGTAGGAAATAGAGTACTGAAGTCCAGCACCTATTCCAGCTGGTCGTGTCGCGTCGCGTCGCGTCGGCGCGCGCGGCCCGTCGCACGTGGCGCGGCGGGTGACGTCACGCGCGGGCGCGGCCAATGGCGCGGCGCGCGTGGGCGCCTGGCGGGCGGCGGGAGGACGGGCGGGGGCGCGCGGCGGCGCTTGGCGCGCTCTCGGCGGCGGCCGCCAGACGCGTCGCCGACGGAGGCGAGCTCGCATCGCCCCAGCGCGCAGCGCCGCCGCCGCCGCAGTCGCTCCGACACAGCCTCCCACCACGCGGCTCACCCCCGTTCGCCACCCCAGTGCCCCGCACGCGTGTGGCTCGCGGTGTGAACAAGTGTGACTCGCGTGTGTTGTGTCTGTGAGTGGTTTCGACTGTCACTTTCGACCCGTCCGCGCGCTCCGCGGACAGACGGTGGAAGTGCCTGTGAAAGTTTCGACGCGGGACGGAGCGTGTTGCCCACCTGTTGACAGCGGTCCTGGGCGTGTTTCGACGGTGTACTTCGTTGTGGACGAGTGTATTGCCGCTGTCTGTCGGTGTGCTGGTTGTTTCTTGACCTTTCGCGAGTGGCGGACCAACTCCGCAGAAACTTCGCGATTTTGCTGGAGCACCCGAGCTGTCAAAGCGAGGACCGTCGCAGGAGACGTTTGCGCCGTCTGCAAGAGTCGCCTGCGAGGTGTTGAGTGAGGAGCACGTGGGCGGAGCAGGAATATGTGCGAGCGGTCGCCTCGAGGTGGCTGTCTCTTTCGTGTGCTGAGCCCCCGTGCGTGAGCGTGGTCGACGTGCCAGCCAGCGATCGGCGTGTGGACGCAGCCTCCTCGTCAGCGCCCCGGAGCAGCCGTCGAGATGACGTCAGGTCGCGGCGCCGCCGCCGCGGCCCTCGCCGCCCTCGTCTTCGTCCTCAGCTGCGCGCCCACCATCCAAAGAGGTACGCCGCCCGACCCACGGGTTCCGATGACGCGGAACCTCGGCGAAAGCCGAGGCGTTTCAGGAGATGGAGAAGGATGCCATTCTGCATAATTCATTATACGTATCGTGTGTTAACATGTGTTCCAAGGAGAATTTGAGTATCCTGAAGAACTTTAACAGTTGTTTTCGTGCCCCCCCCCATGCTCAGAGGTCAGAAATAAGCGAAAGCGTGATGTTTTAATAGTTGTAGATGGATGCGTTGTTGACATTCACGATTCTTCATTGTAAATATTAAATCTTGACCGAATCTTTTGATGGAGGGTTTGAGTACGCGGAATACTTCATTCTTGTTTTTGAATACGAGAACAGAAGCAAGACTTTTCGTGCAGCAGTTTATTATGATGAGCAAAATATATCCCAGTATCAATGTGGCCACGGAAATATTATTTATTTAAATGTATTTTGTCAGAATTTCAAATATTTCCAGTGTATTTTTCTTTTCTAAATGTTCATAATTTCCCTAAGAATATAAAATTGAATTTAAAGCAATATTGCACTATCGCATTCGTGTAGGGGTATTTTTGTTATAACTCTCAAAAGTTAAATTGAATGTGGTTGTGTTAAAGAATTCCTTTGATAATTATTTTTGATCCAAAATACTCAACATTTACGTTCATACGTATATATGCTTAATATATGTTTATCTTTTCTATACGTTTGCCAGTGCGTGTTCTCAATAGTATTCAGTGCTGGACTATTCAAACATTAGTATATTTCCGTCATTTTTACCTTCCCGTATACGTACGTCTATACGGAGTAATATAAAATTAAAGATAAAGGTTTTTCCTTCATATAAAGTTTGTTGTTCATACTAAGTACTTTCATTAAGGATATTTTTGAAAGTTGTAGCAGTTTTAGTGCAATATTTGCAATTTTAAAAAATAACAAAAACCAGATTTTCTCAAAAGAATTTCTTAAAATTTTTTCTCTAAATTTTGGTAAGGATAGTGCTAAATGCACTCCATAAGGTGACATAAACGCTATACTATTACAGTATTGTTTTGTTTTTCCAAAATATACATAAAAATATTTTTTTGGCTTTTTCATTTTCGCTCTCATTAATAAACATTTTAATTATGATTGTTTTTAATTTGATTTTATTATATCTACTTCGTGGAGGTTTAAAAATTGGTAAGTATATGAAAGAATTGGAGACAAAACTCCTAATCTAACATGTTAGAGCATTTCAATTTTCACTTAAATATATTACTTCTAAAGAAAGGGAAAACACGACTTCAAACTGGCAGATACACCACAATCTCGGATCTAACCCACGATACTGCAACCGACACAAGGTCGTTTTGAAGCTTTCGGAAGCCGCATCTCCGCAAGGCCGTGGCATTTCGAGACCATCCCCCTCAGGTACGTCGGGGGACGCCGCGGCCTTCGAGGCTGACGGCATTGCTTAGCACTTTCGCCGCAGCATTTCTTGCTTCTACAAATACTCCAAACTGACCATTCGTGTGTCCGTCTCGGGTCTCCGTTACATTTACTTTCACTCTTTCTCGCATGCGGAGACGCAAGAGCAGCTCGATGTATTCAGTCAGATATATGTACACGTTCGGCAAGGCAAATAATGCTAACTTATGTTTGAATGTGTACGTCTGTGGTATAACTGTTTTCAATTACAACGAGTGCTGCATTTGGTGGACAGATATTATCCTCTTGATGTTTTCTTGTACTCTCCAATTAGATGGCTCGATTTAGCTCGATTTTGCATTGAAGGTTGTGATTCATCTCCATATGAAATCTTAATTACTCTTCGAGAGTGCTTCGCAAGGCAAACGTATCAAGCGTTTTCGTCTTCATCGAACCGAACATACGGAATTGTAGAAGTTTGGGCAATGAAAAAGAGAAAAACGTACTACAATCTACCATTTTAAATGAATGATCGAGTGATAATTCATTTGGACTGAACTGTTCTACAGGCAGTAGGGATTCAATTTTAAAATCAACATTGCTGAGATAACGCATCACATTATTAAATTCTCTGTTGAAAAAGAAACTGGAGTTTTCCGTTAACGCACCCGACCATCAGTCTTTCTTGCAGAACATGCAATTATGACTCCATATTTCACGTTTCACTACCGAATTGTAGAGGTTTGGACGATGAAAAGAGAACAACGTACTTGAACAATGCCATTTAAAAAAATTGAAGGAGCGGTCATTGGCTGACCTGTGGCGTTACTGAACTATTCCGCTGCGAGTATGGGCACAATACTAAAATCAACATCGCTGAGATAACGCTTCACACTATTAAATTCTCTGTTGAATACAAAACTGGTGTTTCCTGTTAACGCACCCGACCAGTAGCCTCTCTTGCAGAACGTGCATTCATGACTCCATATTTCACGTTTCGTTGCGTCACAAAAAAGGAGAAAAAAGCCTGTTAAAACGACCGGGCAGCGGGCGCCAACAGGAGGAGGAGAGCTCGGGCACCGGTTCGCCATCGCGTGCCGCAGGGAAGCTCGCGCGGCGAGACCTCGCGGCGGCGGCGGCGGCGGCGAGCGAAAGTGGGCGCGCGGAGCGGTGGGCTCGGCAGTGAACGGTGTTCGGCACCCGTTACTTCCCCTCGCGGCCCCGCGCGCCAGTGCTCCCACCTACGCGACCAACTGGCCTTCGGAGCCCCGCCGCCGCAGCCGCCACCGCGCTGTCGCTCGCCGCCTCGCAGCCTCCGCCCGGAAGAGTCCAAATCGCCTCTGCATTGTTTGTCTACTCGGTCTCCGAGGGTTCGCTTGTCCGGCGTGCGCTCTTTCCTCCTTTTTTTCCGCTTGTCCTTCCTTTCCTTCCTTGCTCTGATACTTCTTTCTTTCTTCCCCCTCCTTCAGTTGTCTTGCGTTCCCTTTTATGTGTTCACCTATATCCTTTCTCGATTCTTCGTAACCTATTTGTTTATTGTTCTCCTCCCCTTCTGCTCCTCTTTCTTCTCCTTCTTCATCACTTTCTTTTCCTTCTCCTTTTCCTCCTACTCTTCTCTCCTTGCTTTTCTTTTTCTCTTCCTTTCTTTCTCTTATTTAAATGTTTGTGTTGCTGTTTCACAATCTCTGTTCTCTTTCTAATGAATCTCTATTACTATTCTTTGCTCTTTCTAAGAAATCTTTATTTCCCTTTTCTCTTTCTAATGAATAGTTCTTACCATTAACAGCACTCTATTTATTCTACTTGTATGACGCTATTCCTCTTTCTGTTTATTTTCTTCCCCCTGATCAATTAACGTCTTAGAAATTGACTATTTTGTCTGTTTATTTCTCTGACTTTGCGTGTACCGAGTTATATTTTATTCATTTCTTTCAATTCTTTCTTATCGATGCACATTAGTTTTTAATGTCTTCGTTTTTTTATAACATGTATGTCATAGTGTATTCTCCTTTTTTTCAAATTTATCATGCCCTCTTTATAACTTACTTCTCTTTTTTGTGCTGATTTTTCTTTCGTTTTTCATTTCTCTTCCTTTTCCTCCTCTGTAACTCATTTTTCATTTTCCTATTTCTTATTCGGAGACGTGTTCTCTTTGATATCATATTCTCTTTACCTCTCTTCTTCAAAAATCTCACAAGAAGATGGAAATGCAAAGTCACTGAATATAACATATGGAAATCTTATTATATTTAAATGATATTTAAAAGCTACTGCTGCTTTTATAACTTGTGCCTTCGAGAACTTTTGGTCTCCGAAGTTTCCGAGAGATAACCCTACGTAAAGTCGAAGAGTGCTTTTACTGTCAAGAATTAAGTTTCATCCATCTCCGGTGAATATAAGTTTGCAGAAGTAACTATTTGAGAGAGACGAATGTTCTACTTTTCCATAGATGAGGGAGAGGTTAAATTAAGTCCGTTTTGAAAGAATTTCAGAGGGAATTTTGAGATACTGTACTTGTATTTACTTTTTTCTAATACTTTCGACCTTCATAATTATAATTACAGTTTTGTTCATAATTTTACTAGCGGAAGCCAGCAGACCTAGTTCTGCCCATCATCTCCCTCTTTCTCCTTCCCTCTCCCTTTCTTTCTCCATCTCTTTCACCGTCTCACTTCGTCTCCCTCTCTCTCTGTCTCCCTCTCTGGCCCTGCCTCTCTCTCTCTCGCTCGCTCTCGCTCTCGCTCTCTCTCTCTCTGCTCCTATCGCTGTCCGTCTCCATCTCTCTATCCTTGTCCCTCCCTTTCTCCGCCCCTCCGTATGTCTCTGAATCTCTAATGCCATCTAATGGAGTTAAAACAAAATTAACAGCAAATAAACCTTCTGGTTGAAAAAACACGTAGATATGCCAATTTTCATGGAGATTGGTCACACGGTGTCAGAATTTACCGCTCTTCTCTGAAACCGGCGACACATATTCACAAATATACTTTTACATGAAGATGCAGAGATGGTCCCGTGGCCCAGTCAGTCGCTTAAGACACCGGCCCCCGGCGGAACGTAAGAACCTAGACCTCCCAAAAATGTTTGGGTGTTGGAAACTATTCTCAACTAGAAGTACGATAACGGTTGGTTGAATTTTCTCCAGCCCCGAACCTCCCCCGTTTTTTTAAAAGCCATATTAACGAAAACCTTGAAAACTCCATAACATTACACTAAAATGCTGTCTAATTTTTTGAATTGTTTGCAATAAAATAACAAAACTTATAATTTAATGTATGGACATATTAATTAAATACTAGAATTCAATCACAACACACGCACTTCAAGTACGATAAACATCAAAAGCGCAAAATAAATTAAACTGAAAATAAAATACAAACTTCATTTGCTAGTACTGATAACTCGTATTTAATTACACAAACACATTCACTCCCTGCTGAGTTGGGCCAGAGCCACTAGTAAAACTAGCTTTATAGGTATATCGAATTCAGTCGTAGTCTGAAAGATAATTCTAGCGGCTGGCAGGCAGAATCGGTAGTTTTCCATGTTTTTTCTTATCAATACCAAGTGAATAGCGGAGCAATACTGCAACAAACGGGC